GCCTCCCAGATGAGCTCCCCAAGGCAAAAGCCAGTGCACTTGGCATTCAAGCTCAGGTGTATGCTGGGCGCCCCCCACCTTCCTCTGGGACGAGGCAGGTGCCTGGGTGGGGCACGCACAGCGGGGTCCTGCGAGGGTCCGGTGCGACTGGCTTCAGCCCGGTCACCGGAGGACTCGTCATGCCAGGGCTGGGTCCCAGGCGGCTCTGTTCCTCCCGCGTCCCCGACCAAGCAACAGAATCTTGAAGGGGAGGGCTCGTGACCCCTGTGGCATCCCAAGGTGTCGGCGCGGCCAAGCACAGACCCAGGTCCAAGGAGCTGGCAGAAGCGCCAGCTGGCCAGCAGCTTGTCCTCAGGGGCGGGGGAAGGAGGGCAGATGGCACACCCTGCGATCGGAAGGACCCCATACATGGCGCAATGCTCTGCCCTCCCTTGCAGTTTCTTGCAATCCTCGGGAAAATTTGAGCAAGGGCTCCCTCCCAGAGCAAGTTTTCACTTTCCTCTGGGCCTCGTAAATCGTCCCGCGGGGGTCAGTTGGGATGGGGATCTGGCTGAGAGAGGAGAACAGCTCCTGGGGTGGATGAGGCAGTGGAGTGGGGGCGGGGGCCCTTCCACATCTCTCCCTCCCTTCCTCCTCACAAGCTGCGGACACCCCTGGAGGCCCCAGCAAGCCCTGGGCACTGCCCCTGCCCGCCAGCGTGCCCGGCCGAGGGCTCGCAGACTCTTGCCCTGCTATCATCCACCTTGCAGCCCTTGAAGACTCTGGGACCTAGGCGTGGCCTTGGCCTAACTGGGTGGAGGAAAGCTCCCACACGGGCCACTGCCAGGACAGACACTGGCGGTGGGGGTCTGCACCCAGTTTTGTTTCCTCCCATGTGTTCTCAGCAATACTGACGCGTCCTTCTAGCTGCGGGGACAGAGGTGTCGCTGGGAGGTCCACCTCGTCGTCCTCAGGACCGCGTCCCGGGGGTGAGGCCCTGACGAGGATGCTGCCGAGGAGGCGAGCGTGCTCTGGGAGGGCGCCGCCGAAGATGGGCAGGGGTCTGGGTGCTGGGTCTGCCGTGGACACTGTCCCCTGCTGGGACCGCGCCGCCATCCTCACCCCATTTCTTCTCCCGGCACCGCACCCCGGCTCACCCCCCCACCCCAACACACACACTGGTGGGCACGTCACCGGGGCTGCTCCCCACAGGGCATCATCCAGGTGTGGACCCGAGGCTCCCGAAGTCTCGGTGGCCACGCTGGGCGGCACCTCCGCTGCCCACACCCGCTCCACAGGGCTCGGAGCACCTCGTACACAGGTCAAGGACCATACGTTCCCTGGTACTTCTGCAACTTTAATGTAACACGGATCCCCAAAACATGAAAGCACGACAAAAGCACGCAAGGAAAGCAGACGGGCACGAAGGCTTCATCCGGCATGCCGGCTCCACTGGACAGGTGGAAGCCGCCTAGAGCGCTCTGCTAAGAGACTCCGGGAGGCACTCGGCTGGGCGAGGAGGGCCGCCCCGGGCCTCAGCGGTGTCTGCAAACACAAGGCACGGTCGAGGAAACACGTTCAGACACGCGGACACCGGGAGGGACGTGAAGAGCACGGGGAGCGTGTCGGCACCCTCCCGCGGCTCCCCGCCTCCCCCGGCGCCTCCCGGGGCTCTCCTCAGCCCCTGCCCACCCCTCCCGCAGAGTCTCCGTGATGGGCCGACAATCTTACTGGATCCAGGAGAAGAAGTTGGCACCGGTTCGGGAGGCATTTCTGGTCCGGGCGGTGGAGCTGGTGCTGGGGCCGTCCAGGATGCTGGTGCTGGCCCCACCGTCGGTGCCAGCGCTGACGCCAGCCCGCCAAGCGGCCCTCCTGTTGGCACGGTTGCTGTTCAGAATGTACTGGTGGTATCTGGCCCAGAAAGCGAAGGGGATCCTGGCCCAGGCGTCGCCAAAATCTCCATCCTCGTCCCAGGTCAGGAGCTCCACCTGGATGTCATCCCAGCTCCACCGTCCAATCAGAGCTTCCTCCCCGATATTCATCTGGGCCCTCATCTGGGCCCTGGCGTGCTCCTCGGCCATGTCCACATCCATCGTCTTGAAAGCATCATCCACCGCCTCCAAGAAACGCGCCTTCCATTCCCGGGGGTCTCGGTTCTGATTCTGCGACGGGACCATAGCAGCCTCCCTCACCGCACTACCCCGTGTCCACCGAGCGACCCGCTTCCTGACATACGCCCTCCCGGGCACCTCGCCAACCGGGATAAAAACAACCAACGCGGTGGCTTCGGCTCCACGTAACCTGTGCCACAGCCGGGACGTCGCCCCGTCCCTCGTACTTCCCAAGGCTGTGAACTTGGCTGAGTTACTTGGGAGCTTTCCTGAGCCTCCCTGGGGAAACGGCACAGCAAGGAGGCTGTGGCCAAGGCAGAGGCTCCCCGTTACCTGGGCGATGAATCTCAGGACCCTCATCTTGCTGGTCTCGTGGCGGGCGCGCAGGCCCCACAGGAATTCATACTCGGGGGGGCTGCTGTTGGGGATCTTCTTGTACTCCAGGTACCTGGGTGCGACACCCAACCGGCTCTGGCGTCCAGCAGGCACACCTGCGGTCACTAACACTAGTGGCTCCCGGGGGCCCCTCCCAGGCAGGCAGCGGCAGCCCGGCTCCTCAAGGACAGGGGCCTAGCCGTCTAGTCCGTGGCCCGGTCCGTGACCCGGTCCAGTGCTTTCTGCCTTCAGGTGGTGGCCTTCCGAGCCTGATGCCAAGGGTCCTGCCCAGAAGCCACGCGGAGGGGTGTGAGTGCGGGGGTCGGGGGCACGAGTAGGGCGCTTGTTGTTCCTCGGAGGCCACAAGTTTTCTGGCCCTTTCCGGTGAACCCAGATTCCTGTTGTGCGTGCGGCGGACAGAGGCGTCGCTTCTTCAGGCCCCTGCTCTGAGCACACACACGCCCCAGCTCGGGGCCCGGGGGAGCCCAGGTAGTCTTCCTTCAAAACAACTGTCTAGGGGAGGAATGGTCACCCGGGGGCATGTGCAGACTCCCGGCTCAGTGTGTGAGTGTGCGCGCGTGGGCACGCGTGGCAGGACAGTTCGCCTGCCCTGTGTGGGCACACACGTGCTCCGCAAGCAGCGGAAGGGGTGGGCTCCGGCCAGACAAAGGAGGGCTGGGCTTCAGGCCCCCACAGGCCCTTTCCCACCCGGGCCAGGCTCACACCTCCACTCCTCACAGGGGTGGGGGAGCTCCTCAGCCCCCAGGGCCGGTGAGCAGTGAGCCGGCCGCGGTGGACTCAGCCGCAATCGATTCTCAGCGGACACGTGTGCCCTTCCCCAAGACCGCCCTGGAAGCCTGTCCCCGGTATTCACACAGCCCACCGACAAGCATGGCAGACCCCTCACGGGCATCCCTCTGTGGCCGTGCTGCGGGCCGGGGTAGCTTTCTCGGCCAGGGCAGCGTGGCAAGAGAGCGCATGTGCGGGCCACGGGTGACTCGTCAGTACTCACTTCTGCTTCACAAAGTCCTCGGTGATGAGCTTCCTCAGATCGCCAAGGAACGGGTGCCTCACCCTGACAGCAAGGGAAGGAAGCCGAGGTTACAGGCTGTGGTGGTGGCCTGATGTGTGTGTGTGTGTGGTGTGTGTGTGCGGGGGGTGTGTGGCCAGGGCGCCCTCCCCAAAGGACTGGGAACTCCCCAGCCAGGGTCATCCCCTCGGCGACGGGGCACGCTCCAGGGGCCAGAGGGCCACACGTCAGCAACGGGCCCCAGTGCTGAGCGTTTTGCCTAGAGGTCATCTGGGGAAGAAAGGGGACCAGAGGGGACTCGGGGCAGAGAGGGGAGGGAGTTCAGGACCGCGCCCCACTCACCACAGTGAGAACCGCTGCCCCCTCCCCGCACCACACCACCCAGGGCCATGCGATCCCAGGTACTCTCCTGCCCCAGTCCAACGCTCAGGGGCAGGAGCCCGGAGAGCCCAGACGTACCCAGGGCGCAATCCCATCTTGCGGAGAGCCTCCCAGAGGACGGCTGTGAGGGGGAATGAGGTACAAGGACTTAGCGCAGGAAGGCGGGACTGTGGGCACCCTCGCCTCGCCCCAACTCCCGCCAGACCCAGGCACCAGCGCCACTCACCCTCGCTGGCGCGGTTGCCATTCATGAAGATGACCCCCAGAATCACCAAGAGGAGACTCAGCCTGGGAGTGTCCTTGGTCCTGCGGGCGGGGAAAGTGGATCCTGTGCACCACCCGTTCCCCCAAGGGCTTCAGCATGCTGGTGGCCCAACTAGCCTGACCTGGAGCGGGGGCTGCCGGCCCTCTACCCGCTGCACGTGCTGCTACCGGAGCCAAACAATCCACTCCTCCTCCCAAGACCGCTACTTCGCCCATCGATGTGTCCACCCACGCCCCCTCCCGGGTCTCCACTAGGATGGGGTTAGGCGGGCAGCGCGTGCTTGGCAAGTGTGTCCAGAGGCAGGGAAACCTTCCCTGCCTGGGGGCGGCAGGAACGGTCGCCTCCCACCCCACCAGGTCTGCCCCGCCCAGCTGGGGCCAGGCACTGCGCCAGGAGAGGCAAGCAGGAAGCAGCCTGCTCCCCACGGAGAGCGGTCCAAGGGTGAGAGGCGGGCAGCAGCAAGGGCCTCGGGCCCCTCTGTGCCCGCACACCGGGCAGCGCAGACTGTGGGTGGGTGGGGGCAGCGCTCAGCCCGAGAGCTTATCCTGCCCGTTTCTCTGAGGACCGTGGGAGACCGGGCAGGGAGGGGCACCACCGGAGGAGGTCACAGCCCCCCTGTCCTTCCTCACTTTCCCAGGAGGCGTGCCGAGGAATCCCGCGTGCAGACCAGGATGTACAGGTGCTCTTCCTTGTCGATTTCCTTCAGGTGGATCCCAAACTTCTACATGGGGGAGAAAACGGGAAGGCAGATCACACACCCATGTGGGTGCCGCGCAGGCTGTCCCTCGACCTCTGTCCAAAGACTGCTTCCCCACGGGGAGCCCAAGGGCCTGGGGGCGCGCGATCAGGCCCTGGCCCGCGGGGCAGCTCTGGTGCTGGCCTGGGCGACGGGCCCACTTCACAGACAGCCTATGCTCAGAGGGTACAAGCCCGGGGGAGGAGTCCGCAGGGACAGCTCAGGGCGCAGAGGCTGGAGAGGCCTCTGGAGCAGTGGCGGTGACACCGGGACCCGGGAGGCGCACACCGGTTTCAAGGCACCCCGCAGCCCTTGTTCCAGGGCTGAGCTTGCCCGTGCCCACCTTTTCCAGCGTGTACGTCGCTCGCTCTATGATCTCAGGGAAATGCTCGTCGTACTCTCGGATGACGTCCTTGAGCATGTCTGCAGGAGGGGAGAACGGGAGAGCACCTGGCTCGAACACGGGCCAAGGAGCAGAGGCCACCGGCCCTGGCCAGCCCTGCTGAGCGGAGCACGGTCCGCTCTGTGCACGCCAAGCCCAGGGCCACAGACTACCGTTGTGTGTGTGTGTGTGGGGGGAGGGCTTCAATTGGGGCTGCAGGTACAGCAGGGTTGGGGAGCGGGGAACGGGGTGCCCACCTGAGCGCTTGATGGGAATTTTCTTGTAGTCCTTAATCATCAGATATTTCACCAACTTATTCGCCTGGTGAGGGAGGAGGGAGCACACCGGGAGATCAACGAGGCTTGGGGGACCGCAAACCTCAGCCCCGCCAGGGGCGAGAGGAGGGAGGTGGGGGAGGGCATCCTTCTTACCCTCTCCTGCAGAAGGGCCACGTTGCGGGGCGGCAGGCACAGCACGTGCCTCGAGGGCACCTGGGACCTCAGGGCCATCGGGGGCCGAGGGGTCGCCTGAGCCCGCCCCGTCAGGGGGGGCTGCGAGGCTCTCCAGGTCGGTGGGACCACAGGAGGCTCTCTCTCCTCCTCGCTGCTCTCATATTCGTCGTCCAGGTGCTTGGACTGTAGCGTGAGACAGGACAGACCCAGGGCTGCCGGGCTCACCACGCAAAGCCACCTGGCACACGTCTCAGCCAGAGCAAGGGACTTGCAAAGAGGAGCGGTAGGGACAGCCCACGACATGCGCCGAGCGCCACGGAGGCACCGAGCCGTCCTTTTCCCACCGGGCCCCCAGGTAGGCACTACCTGCAGCGAGAGCATGCTGGAAACCCACGGTGGAGACACACGGACAAGAGTAGCCAAAAAGAACTGGGGTGGGGGTGGGGGGGCGCTGGGCTGCGGGGCGTGGAGAAGACAGCAGGGGCGAGAGAGAGGGCGTGGTGAGCAAGCAAGGGCTCACCTTCTTCGTCCTCTTGCCTCCCATCCTGGCCCAGGGCTCAGCACTGTGCTGGGCAGTGGCAGCTGCGCCCTCGGGCTCAGCGGCGCTGGTGGCCATCTTGGCCTTCGCAGCGGCAGCCGCTGCCACGACACTCGGAGGCTCCACCCAGCGGGTCTTGGCGAGAGCCTTCCCAGACTTGGTGGTCTTGGGCTGGGTGGAGGCCCCCTCCCTGGGAGATGCCGCCTGAGGCAGGCCAGAGGGAGCACTGGGGCCCTCTGTGGCAGCCTCCTGGGCCGGGGCGGGTCTCTTGGGGCGCGGGAAGGCCATGCCGCTGACACCCGCAGGCTGCGTGAAGTCAAAGACATCGTTCTGGCCCAGGAAGGCTGTCGTGGGCCGGGCGGCAGCCCTCTCGCTGGCACACGGAGCCTGGGAGACAGCACGAGCGGTACCGGGGCCCTCGGTCGAGGCCTCCCGCGTCTGGGGCTGAGCGGAGGTCGCCGGAGCCCCGGGGACGGCCACCTCGCTGTCTGCTAGCAGCTGCGAGACGTGCGGAGAAGGCAGGGTCGGCTCAGGGGTGGCTCCCCGAGCCTCGGCAGTGGCGGCGGCATCGGTCATGGGCTGGGCATGCTCTCCTGAGGCCCGGTCTGGGGCTGCCAGGGACTCAGTGACCACCTGATTGTAGGCAGCACGGGCGGCGGCGGCGGCGGCCCGAGCGGCGCGGTTGGAGGCGGCAGAGCGGGCCACATTGGCAGCACGGGCGGCCGCCTCGTTGGCAAGTGTCTCGGGATCCAGCTGCAAGGCCTCCATCAGAGTCTGGGCCAGCACAGGGTTTTCCAGTTCCCAGGGCTCATTCTGCAAGGCCGGAGAGAAGGGGAGGGCAAGCAGAAAACTCTACACACTCAGTCACGCTCTCCTGAGCTGCCAGCCCCGACACCTCCCCGACTGCCCACACCCCCTTTTTCGGAGCAGGACAGGCAGGGTTGGGGGAAGAATGGTGGCCTCTCCCTCCCCTTCCCTCCCTCCCCAGAAGCACCCCCCTCGGCTTCCCCCCCACCCTCCTTCTCAGGGGAGAAGCCCCAGGGACAGCAGGTGACCAGAAGGGGCCTCACCGCTAGGAGGCGGAGGCCTGGACCCAAGCTACCAAAGGCTCTGAGGAGGCGCATGTCAAAGCTGGTGAAGCTGCCATAGCCTCCAAAAGCACCAAATTCTTCATAGTCGTTGCCTTGCACCATCTCTTCCTCCCCCACGTCATCGCTACCCTCGTCCATGTCTTCAGCATTGTAGCTTTCAGATTCCATGCTGTAGCTGCCCTCCGCCATGCTGTGGGTCCCAAAGAGAAGAGACTGGACCTGACAGGGAGGGGGAGGGGGAGGGGGAGGGGGAGGGCGCCTCGGGGGAGGGGGCGGGACCTCTCAGGAGGTGAGGGGCAGCAATCATCAGGTTAGTAGGCAGTTGGTGCAGGTGGGGAGGCATGTTGGCTACAAGCCCTCAGGCACAGAGTCCTGGGCAAGGCACACAGGGGGTGCAGGGACTTGACCCCCCATTTTCCCTCCTCCCCCAACTCAAAGCCAGTTCAGGAAGGACAGCAGCTAGATGTGATCATGGCGGGACTGGCCAGTTTGGGTCTGAGCGGTCCCAAAAGGGGGTGCCAGGAGACAGGAAGAAACAAAGGGCTGGAGCTTAAGGGCTGGAGTCAGGGGCCAGGAGCAGAGCAGAGGAGAGGGCTCCCAGGAAGGAGACAGCAGAAAGCTCTGGGAAAGTGCGACCCAGGGACACCCGGCTAGCTCCGGGCTGGGGATTCCACCCGTGCCAGGCTAGGCTGGGCTCATGCTGGAGCGCTAGGGGGTGGATGCTGTGGCAGCCCGGGACCTCGCTGAGGCTGGCACGGGAGCGCCGGCGCTCTCAAATCCCGGGACCGCAACTCCAGGAGACAGGCACAGCGACCCATGGATGGGGGGGGGGGGGATCCAGGAGCGGTGGGGTGGGGGTGGGGCCTGGGCACTCCGCACGGAGCACAGGGCTCTAGCTGCCACAGGGGTTCAGGCTGTGGGACTCCCGTGTGCCTAGGGCTCGCGTGGGGGAAACTGGCGGAGAGCGGGGGGTGGGGGAGGACTAGGGACACAGTGCCGGCACTCCTCGCCCCACACCTCGGGTGGACTTGGGGTCGGGGTTCTGAGTGCTTAGGCTTTGTTCCGATCCGAGGTTGCGGGGTGGGGGGGGGGGGGGGGGCACAGCATGCCGGCTTCCACTCGCGCTCTCCCCGACTCGTCTCGGGCCAGAGCCTTACCTTCCCTGGGTTCCAATGGCGTCCGTCCTCAGCACCAGGAACCCCGCAGCCGCGCCCTCGCCTACAGCTGCCAGCACAGCAGCTCAGACCACCCCGCCCCTTTTCTCCGCGCGCCCCCCCAACCCGCGGCCGGGCAAACCGCGCATGCGTGGAGTCCTCCAGCCCGCTTTCCCAACAAAAGCCCTTTCCACCAGGTTCCCAGTGCGCATGCGATTCTGTGTATTTGCGGAGGGGGTTGGAACGGGTGGTGGGGTGCTGGGAGGAGGGGGCGCTGTGAGGTGGTGGGGGAGAGGG